ACATATAAATTTAAAGAAAAAAATGGATCTTCAAGAACACAAACACCAAAATTATTAGTATCAATCACCATCTGTAGCAATTTAATCAAATGGAAAAGATAGTAGAGTTACATAAAGAATGTAAAGAGTAAAAGTGAGTTTGTTGAAGGTAAAAAAATCAAAATTAAAAATTAAAAAAAGGCTGGGCACGGTAGCTCACACCTGTAATCCCAGCACTTTGGGAGGCCAAGGCAAGTGGATCGCTTGAAGCCAGAAGTTTGAGACCAGCCTGGTCAACGGAGTGAGATCCTCATCTTTATAAAAAATTTAAAAAATTATCTGGGCATGATGGCACTTGCCTGTAATCCCAGATACTCAGGTGGCTGAGGCAAAAGAATCACTTGAACCCAGGAGGCAGAGATTGCAGTGAGCCGAGATTGTGCCACTGCACTCCAACCTGGGCGACAGAGCAAGACTCTATCTCAAAAAAAAAAGAAAAAAAAGAAAAAAGAATGTAAAGAGCACACATCAAAAGGAAATTTTCTGCGGGGCTTAGAATAACATTATAGACTCATCTTCCCAGTTTCTGCACTTTAATATCTGCTGCTAAGTTGCTACATATCTATGGTCATCTTTCTCACACAGACTGTGAAGACAATGGCAGAGACCATGTCATGGGGTGGGAGCAACTGCTTTGATCACTGACAGTGGCTGGGACAGTGACACGGTTCTATTCCAGGGTACCAATCCTTCATAATTTCCGGAAAAATTATCATAACGACAACCCGATCACCTCTAGATCACGGCCTATCACCAGAGTCTCACACCAGGCACAATCTGATTGGTCTACAACAGCTCCCCTCCCTCTAAAACTCAGAGGCGCACACAATTCCTCATGTTCCCGAGCTCTCACAGTTATTACCGAGACGTCAAGAAAATGACAGTCATATGAGCCTTGTCTAACCTCAGCAGTCCTGACCGCATTGAAAACAGCCAAAATTTTTTTGACTAAACACCAAAAGCACTTTGGTAGAACTTAAAAAATCAACAAGTAATTATCACAGCTATTCTGCATTTTCAAACAGGCTCCATTAGTAAGAAACGTAGAAAATTGGCGGGCATGGTCCACACCTGTAACCCCAGCACCTTGGGAGGCTCGAGCAGGGCCAGATCTGAATCACGGACGAGACCATCCCCGGCTAATCACGGCTTAAACCCCATCTCTACCTAACACAATACAAAAAATTACGGCTGATGGGGCGCCGCAGCGTCCAGCACCAGGAGCTGAGGCTGGAAAATTGTAAACCCGGAGGCGGAGCCTTGCACAGTGAGCCGAGATCATGCCCTCG